CCTGGTACCAAAAAAAAAAAAAAAAAAAGAAAGAAAGAAAGAAAGAAAAGAAGAAAACAAATGTCCAGTTACTGGTGTGGTGGTGCACACCGTAATCCCAGCTACTTAGGAGGCTGAGGCAGGAGGATCGCAAGTTCAAGGCCAGCCTGGGCAACTTTGTGGGAAGAGCACAGACCTAGCGTCCATGAAGGCCACAGGTTCTACTCCAGTACCAGGAAACACAAACAAAAAAACTGCTCAGGCTGGAAGGACACTGAGATAGACAAACTGGGATTTATGTATAAAAGGGGAAGATGGAAAACAAACTTCCAGTGCCCATTAACGCCTGGGCCTTAGTGGCTGAAAAAAATTTGTGGCTCCTTCTTCTTTTTTTTTTGTACCGGGGATCAAACTCTGGTCCTTGGGCTTGCAAGGCAGACGGTGGAACCACTGAGCTACATCCCCGGCCCTATGGCTCATTCTCAGAACTGTGAGATCCCCAAGGTACTCTGTGTTGGGGCTGTGGGCCGGGGAGCACAGGGCCTCGGAGCACAGAGCCTCACAGGCCCGGCGAGCACTCGCTGGTGCCTTGCGGTTTTGTACCAGGGCTCGGACCCTGCACCTCAGTGTGAAACTCTCAGGTAAGAGAGCAGCAACTGTTTCCCAGCTCTGTAGGGAACGAGTTCGAGAGGATCCCGAACCGTGACATCAGCCTGGCCAAGCAGAGAAAGGAAGGCACGGGCTGGGGCATCCAGGGCTGGAGTACAACTTTCTGTTTTCCGCTACTCCTCTTTGCTTTCATCGGAACAGGAAGTTTTGGTTTTTGGCACCGGGGGCTGAACCCAGGAGTTCTCTGCCTGCAAGGCACCCTCAGCCCTCTTTACTTTTATTTTGAGAGAGGATCTCTCTCGGTTGCCCAGGCTGGTGTGAATGTGCAGTCCTCCTGCCTCAGCCTCACAAGTAGCTGGACTGACAGCCACACGCTACCACTTCCGGAGAAAACAGATGTTCTACATAAACAAGGTCACCCTACAATACTGTCTTTGTGACGCAGGGCCACTGGACTTTGGGCACTTTCTGACTGGCAGAATGACAACATTTTGGATTTCCTTTCCTGGTCTAGGATTCCAATCATTTCTTTAAGGAGCTTTGCTTCCGTAAAGTGAAGGATAACATTTATTTATTTGATTTCGAGACAGGTTCTCGTTCTGCAGTCTAAGCTGGCTGTGAACCCACTATGCAGCCCATTCTGGCCACAAACTCAAGGCAATCCTCCTGCCTCAGCCTCCAAATCCTGGGATGATAGGTGTGAGCTACCAGGTCTGTCTGTCTGTCTGTCTGTGTTTATCGTAGGAGAAAGGCTCTACCACTGAGCTGCACCCCCAGCCTGTCAAGAACTGGACAGAGTCCGTTGCTCCCCCATGGTCTCAGTGCTGGGGAGTGTGTGGTGTGTATGTGTGTGTGTGTGTGTGTGTGTGTGTGTGTGTGCCCATGGGTGTGTAAGCTCAGCGGCGGTGCTCATGCCTAACATGTGCAAGGCCTTGGGCTCCGTCTCCAGACCACAGAAGACAATACTGACCGCGAGCTTACCTAGACACAAGGATTGCTCACCTGTCCCTCGCGATGGGGGCTGCCACCCCCATGTAAAGCACCGGGAACCTCCCTCAATACAGTTTTCTAGGCTAGCAGCGCCCCCTAGAGTTTATCAGGGGGAGAGCTGCAGACTGGAAACTACCTATTACTGGTTTAATCCAGCATAATCTGGCACTCCTAATTCACGGAGTATACCTTCCTTTTTTGAAATACTATGAATTCAACAGCAGCGCAGATTTCGGGAGTCCAGCATTCTATGTTGAAGTAAAAATAGATCCCTCTAGGCCAGGCGTGGTGGCGCATGCCTATTATCCCAGCACTCGGGAGGCTGAGGCAGGAGGATCGCTCTGAGTTGAGACCAGCCTGAGCTACACAGTGAGTTCCAGGTCAGTCTCAACTACAGAGTAAGACCCTGTCTCAAAAAAACAAAACAAACAAACAAAAAAATAGATCCCTCTTCCTTCTGCAGGTCGGAGACAAGTTTTCAGAAATTGATTAAAAAATTAATATAAAAAGACCTTAATCCCAGCGGAACATGCTTATAATCCAAATACCCTGGAAGACTGAGGCAGGAGGATCTCAAATTCAAGACTAGCCTGGGCAATTTAGTTTGAATTTGAGATCCTCCTGCCTCTGCCTCCCCAGTGCTGGGATTTTTGGTACTGCTTAAACTCGGCAGGCAGAGGAACCACTGAGCTAAATTCCCGGCCCTAAAGAGTTCTTTTTGAAGGATATTTAGGTCATTTCTAAATATTCACTAACTCAAACTAGGCTTAAGAGTTAGTGTTATTAAAACCACACTTTTTTTTTTTTTTTTTTTTTTTTTTTTTTTTTT